CGATTGTCGTAAAGAAAAAAAAAGTAGAGCAGTCCGTAGCAATCTTCGCGAATAGGAATTCATGCCACTAATAATGAACGATTACGGGGGAACTTTCATCAAAGCACGTGCAGGATACGTCAATGTTTAAACTAAAGATCAGAAGTGATGATACTGATACTGGTACCTCGATCCTCAACGTATGTGGAGGTACGAAGCAAAACCAAATCGATAACAGAAAATGAAACCACCTATTGGTACTACTACCCTTTCGTGTGTGTGTGTGTGTGTGTGTGCGNGAACAGAGTGCCTGTACGTCAAAAAACGGATTGTGTACAGTTAGAACATGAGAGTGATCACATACAATCCATTCGGTGTTTGCTACAGTTTACTGAACTCCCCATCTACACCGAAAAAGAACGTGCCACATAAACTTCCAGCAGACAGAACTGAGAGCTCGACTTTGCACGATTGGTGAGAACTGGGTGATTTCACCTACATAATCTGTACGAGGTTTGAGATGGAATTACTGGAAAACAATTGTTTGCACCAAACTGTGTGTTGTTCTGAATGTTGTGATAGGCCCAATTCCGACATTTGTATGAAAATTGTCGAAGCCTACCCGATAGTTTGCCAGATGCGTGCAAATAAGAGAGTCGCAACTTGGACAGTCACTCACAGTGAAAAAGACAAGAGAAAGGACCAATCAGGAAAAAAACGGGTAATCGTACATTTCATCGATGGTTAGAAACACTGATCGATATGACTGGATGTCGCAAACAGTGGTACTCATGCGTCTACTCATTATTCTGGTAACTTCAGTCTATATCAATTCGCTCTCAACACTCCAATCTTCATTCTGCTGTTTTACCCAAGTGGGCAACCAAAACTGGTGCACGAAAGTGCATGGTTAATGGTTGTAAGAGCTGAACTGAACTAAGCGCATTCAGAATACGAAAGTGAACCTCCCGGAGTTTACGGACTGGCGGTATTTCTGTGTAGCGAGTATGATTTCGTGTCTATTATACGTAACCGTTACAATTGACCAGATTCCCATTAGTATTTACAAACATTGAGTTAATTTTAGCGGAGAGATTTGACAAAACCCTTCATAAATCAGAAACGCGGTGGTATTTTGATTACTCTAAGATAAGTGTTTTTAATGTCTCAGTGATTGACGGTTGCATAATAACGACCTGATTGAGATTTGGAGAACTGGTTCTCGTATTGATACCCCATGGTTGTCTGGACGGGAACGGGCTTTAGCAAAAATCGGGAAATAAGTAAACGGTTTTGTCGTAATCCATCGTAAATAGATAAAACGAATCGAGCCAGGAATTTTCTCATTGCGCAAGCCGAATCAGATTGTGTAGAAGTTGATCACACCTGAATTTCTGAAATTGTGTTTAGCCGTCGATACTTTCCCTGGCAGACAGAAGTCAGATCATGTCCTGGTAAAAATACGAAATCCGTAACCAGGTGGGGCTTAATCATGGAGTTTGTGTCGGACATGCTGATAGGTATCGTCAAATCTGGTCGAACGGCTGGTGGGTTACTAATGATGAACCCCCCTCTCCCCCTCCACACACACACGCACACACTCAAAGCCGATTCCGAAACCAACCAATACAATTTTTTCCTCAGAGTTGTACGGGAACGCACGAATACCGGTAAGACCGGTAAAACTAACCTGGACCAAGTCGCGTGTGTACCTATGGAAACACTCATACGAGCCGGACGGCCTTTCGTAAAATTATCAAGTTCCCGTGTATCCGAAACGACGGGTCCATTCACTTTGTTCTCCTTGTTCGAACTGCGACTGACGTTGTTCCCCGGTTCACTTATCATCGGACGCCGTCTCTGTTGTATCCGACTGTGACGTTTCATGAGCCGTTGGTACTCCAAATCCAATTGTTGATAAGTTTCACCCGCGCGACTCCACCAATCGAAGGGACTGTCATCCGGGTCACTGTCGAAAGAAGCCCATAGCCGAGTAGTAGGCCGACTGGGTTTCGTAACAGCCGGTTCCTCCGGGTCTTGCGTTCGACTCACATTCATGATTGGAGCCTCGGAGGGTTTTTCTGTCGACTCACTGACTTGTGTGACTGAGGCACGAAACGAAAACGGGCACACACTGATGAGACTGTTTCGATTGTGTTTGAAAGGATACAATTTTTTTAGTATCTACCGTGTGTATCAAACACATGGGAATACATAAAGTTGAATCGATCAAAATGGTTGGCGGAAAGCGAGAAGAAAATGATAATTAACAAAAATAAAATAGAAAAAATGCGACCATCTGAGGAAAAATATGAGAAACAGTTGAGATCTGTAGTTGTTTCGGACGAACAGCTGAAATGACACTTTTACCCACCTCAGGGTAATTAAATCAGCGGAGAACTAACTATCACCAATGCGCTTTGTATGATACCCTTTGAATTATTCCTTTCTGACTACTAGTCGACCAAATAGGTGACCGAAAGACGGTAACAAAAATCAGGTTACAAAAGTACAAGGTAAATGGTTGTGAAAGCTGAAACTGTTATACTTTGGGTAATACGACAGTTTTCCACCGGTGACTGTTCAACGAAATTTTCATTAATTTTCAAGATTGAAATCTGTAGTGAATTTGGTGATCAATGGCTTCAACATCACAGAATAATGCTTAGTCTTCTTAGGACTTTAAATAGAAACGCGTAAATAGTTTACCTGAGTCAGGGCTAGAGACCGTCTCGCTTTTCACATCCAGGTTTACATGTTCTGGACTACGTCGGGCCATATCAGTTACTTTGGTCTCTTCCACCCGGGAAATTGCAACGGTGAGGGGAACTGGATCCTCTATCTTCCGGTATTCACCAGATGTTCTCGAACGACGTATGCTGGTGCTTGGACGGTTCGACTGGCCTTTCGAGCTACGTCGACGTGGCAAGTGCGTGATTTTAGGTTCCACAACATGCACGTTGGATGGAGGTAATGGCTGAGGATTTGCTGGCAAAAGCTGGCAGGGTGAGGTACTTGATTCTGCGTTCCCTGAAGCTGGCAATGTAGGTGACTGATACGGCCAAGCGTCCTCCGGTGAAAGACTAAATGCAGCGAACTGATCGAAACGACCAGCTTGTCGAGCTGAAGCATAGGCCCGTTTACGCACAAATCGTACGGGAGGCATTCCGCTATCACCCTCATTCCCGTCCAGGCAAGCACGAGTGAAGGTTTGCCGACGATGTGCCTTTTTCGTGACATTTGCGTCCAAATGTCGTATCCGAACGGTTCCCAGAAGGGATGCGTCCTTTGGATGATCTGGCTCGACGACGTGCATGGAGTCACCGCTGGTACCGATTTCGGATTGTGGTGATTTATCTTCCACCAATTTCGGACCATCAAAGATGATTGAGGGTGAAACAGGACTGGTGCATTCTTTTGACGTGGATCGAACGTTACCTACGTGAAACGGGAGTGGAGTTATTGGTTAACAAGCATTAAGAACCCGAAAAAAGTACCTCGATTCGAAATTTCTCATCATTTGATCCGTAACATTAATCAAGCTACTAGTGAAAACAGCATTGTGATCGCCGAGAAACAAATA